TCTCGGACAAATCCAGCGTCTGCAGAGAGGTCAAACATTGGAAGATCACTTCCGGGAGCGCTTCCAGCTTGTTGATGGACAAATCCAGCTTCTGCAGAGAGCTCAAGCCAACGAAGATCCCCTCCGGGAGCTCTGTCAGCTCGTTCCAGCACAAATTCAACTCCTGCAGGGATCTCAAGCCAACGAAGATTTCTTCCGGAAGCTCTGCCAGCTTGTTCTTTTGCAAATCCAGCTTCTGCAGGGAGCTCAAATCTTGGAAGATCACTTCCGGGAGTGCTTCCAGCTTGTTGAAGGACAAATCCAGCTTCTGCAGAGAGGTCAAACCTTGGAAGATCACCTGCGGGAGCGCTTCCAGCTTGTTCATGGACAAACCCAGCTTCTGCAGAGAGGTCAAATCTTGGAAGATCACCTCTGGGAGCGCTTCCAGCTTGTTGCCGAACAAATCCAGCTTTTGCATAGAGCTCAAATCTTGGAAGATCGTTCCTGGGAGCTCTGCCAGCTCGTTCCAGCGCAAATCCAACTCCTGCAGGGAGCTCAAGCCAACAAAGATCCGTTCCGGAAGCTCTGCCAGCTTGGTCATTTGCAAGTCCAGCTTCTGCAGAGAGGGCGCACCCAGCTCGTACGAGCGCAAATTTCCGCGCAAATCCAGCTCCTGCACAGAGCTCAACCCTTGAAAGATCCCCTCCGGGAGCTCTGTGAGCCTGTTCATGGGCAAACTTAGCTCCTGCAGAGAGGTCAGCCCTTCGAAGGTGCTGTTGGAGAGGTCGTGGAGCTTATTGCTGCCGAGGTCGAGGACTCGGAGGCGGTGGAGCTGGGCGAAGGCGCCGTCCTGCAAGGCCGTCAGGCGTTCTCGCTGACGTCCAGCACTTCCAGCTGCGGGTTCTGCGCAAAGTCCGGCAAACTCAGCAGATTGTTCCCGATCACAATTACTTGTCCGCGGTCGCCCGTCTTGCCACCTAAGTATAGCTGCTCCAGGTGTCGCAGCGGTTGCAGAAGCTGAGTCGAAAGGTTGAAGAGCCTGTTCTCGCTGAGTGAAAGGAGCCGAAGCTCTGTTAGCCCTTTGAAGGCCTCGTCATCCATGTTGGTCAGGTGTCCTTTGCCAAGATCGAGGGCTTGTAGGCAAGCGAGGTGCCGGAAGCGCTTGGGTGGCAGCGAGGTCATACTGATGTTCGTAAGGGAGAGGCGCTTTAAGTCACAGCCAAGCAAGTCGAAGGCGTCCTCGGCAATGTCGTCGAAGCCAGTAACGGCCAGCGCCGGTTGTCGGAGCCCTGCTGCCTTGGATTGCAGAGAACAATTCAACTTGCAAGCGCCTCAAACCTCAGCACTCTGCCAACACAGGTCTCAATAAAGGCTGGCTTTGGGCGCGCATTTCCTACGCTATTTTGGCCTGTACACTGTGGAGAAGAACACAAGGTGCATCTAAAGAGGACCAATAGACAATATCAAACAATACCATTCGCAGCACCGCTGCCAACCCACAGCTTTCCAGCCGCACGGCCGGGCGCAGGCAGATCTTCCACCGTGACCCCTTGCGCGAGTTCCAGTCACCCTTAGGTCACAGGTTTCGTCAGGTTTTAACCTCCTTACAGACACTATCGGACGGAGGTGGCCTAAATGCAGCTGGGCGGCGGCCCGCCACTCGATGTTCCCCCTTGGCACGATGCCGCCTGGACCCTTGTAGGAGCCGACGCCGCTGTACTCGACACCATTGACACTCAACGTGTCATCACCATCTTGCGTCGCGAAATCTTCCACCTGGATGTGCCAGGTGTTGCCTTCGTGGACCTGGATGGTGCACGTGTCGGGTTTCGGATAAAGAAAGGGATAATTGGTGCTGGTGATGCAGCCGTTCTCGTGCAGGGTGCAGGACCTGAGCGGCCGAGAACAAGTTCACGAGAACGACAATCTACGACCGCATACTCTCAGGAGCTGGCCCCTCGGTGACCTTCCAACGCTCAAGGTGCTCCTGCAGACTCCAGAGCACGACAGGCTGGAAAATCCTCTCTACGTCTCCTCTCCGCCTCAGAGACCTTTCAGCCTTCTAACCCCCTTGGTCCTGGTCCGAGGTTGGAGCAGACCTCGACGATGGGTCCTGTGACAGGTGCGGGGAGGTGGCAGGCCGTCGGAACTGGCCTTAAAGCTTCGTAGTCCTATAACTTTTGAAAGCTTGAAGCTCTTAAGGATGCCCTCCTGGGAGCAGCGGCAGGGGAAGCAGCTGAAGTCGCCGGCGTGACCAGGGTAGAAATCATGCGAGGTGAGGAACGAAATCAGGAGAAGCAGCAGCGCTGGGGAGTAGACCAAGGTCAGGCATCGCCCGGCAAGCCCAAAGCGCCAAGACTGGAGATGCGCTTTTCCGAAGCCGGTGCGCTTGTCCCAGTGCTGCTTCTGGCCAAGGCTCCTTTCCAGCTTAAACTTGCACGGAAGCTGAATATACAGATGAAGTGCAAGCTTGAGCCTACACGCATGTTCTTGCGTCTTCAATCTGTTTCTTGAGATGTGCTTGCGGCTGCTGCTCCTTTCGAGAGAACGGCAGGCGCAGCAGATGTGGGCAATGCTCATGTAGACCGCCAGGAACTGGAGGATGTCCGAAGGGAAAGCAAATGCTGGGCTGATGCCTGATTGCTGGACTTCAAGTACCACTCCAACACCCCTAAACCCTAACCCCCAAAACCCTAAAACCCTAAACCCCCAAAACCCCAAAACCCCTAAAACAGCTCCCATGACATTACCTCTCCTGGCAAGCAGCTGTTGCTAAAGCTAAGCTCCGACAGATCTCCAAAGTTCCCTGTGACAGACGTCTCCATGTCCAGCTCGGAGATCCCAAGTACCTGCACAAAGACTTCAGGGTTTAGGGCACTAGAACCCTTATTCCAAGGACCCCCAGAAAGGTACCCCATTTTTTGGGAAGCCCCCACATGCATAGAAGCTTTAGGGTTTAGCGTGGTTTAGGATTTAGGGGTCAAAAGACATGACAAACGAGACTGCAATGCAACGCGCTTCTCTGCGCAACGGCCCCGGAAAGCCCTACACCTACAATGACCTCCGCCCCCCGATGCATTGCAGCCCAAGCGTCCACGAGTATCATGTAGCTGAGCATATACCCCAAGTCTAAGATCACGTCCATGACGGCTGCACCGTAGCGAGCCCAGGCGGCACCAGGAAAGAGAAAAAGCACTGTCGGATAGAGGGCATTCAGGGCAAGCATGGACCAAAAGCACCAAAAGGCAAGCTGTAGGGCTGACAGCATCTTTATTTCTTGCTGCATGGCAAATGTCACGATGCCTGCCAGCAACCTCAATTTACCGCAGGCCTGCAGTAAGATTGTGAGCAGCTGCAGCGCGGCTACTTTGAACGTGTGGTAGCACCCGTGGACACCGAAGAGGCGCTCAAAAAGTAGCTGCGAAAGGGTCATCTTCTTCTGCTCTTGGCAGGGCTTGCAACGGAGGAGGTCGTGGGCGAAGACGACCACGAGAACCCCGTACGGCGCCGAGAGGCTGAGGGCTTGACTCCAGGTTTGCTCTGCTGGCATGGTCTTGACGACGAGAAGGCGCAAGATCCACGCGGGCAGGGCCTGTTGCACTGCCGGGCCATAGCGGACCAGATATTGGCAGCAGAAGTACGCGGAGGCGCACAGCGCCATCATCCGCACCAGGGCCATGGCCACGAAGAGGTGGCGGAAGCCAACTTTCGAGCTTTCCGACTCCGTCGCCAAACGCTTCGGCGCCGGCAGCTGGTGCGGGGGCCGCGCCTCCTCCAGCAGTCCGAAGCCCTGGGCCTCAGCTTCAGTGTGGCAGAACCATGATCGAATCCTACGCAAGGCGTTCCTCGATGCTCTTGTCAGGCACTGAGCAGTTAATGCACGCTGCTGGTAGCTAGCTCAACTAGCAGTCCAAGCAGTGCATGCTTGGAATGTTTTGGGGCTGGGGCAAATAGTCGTACTGAGGGCTGCACCAAATGCCAGAGGCCTGAGAGGGCTGCCTCAAGCTTGGCCAGCTTGGCCACCAGAAGCACCAGCGTCGCGAGATAACCTCAAATCGGCGGGCACTCCAGAAACGTACTTCCCAAGAAAAAATACCTAGGAAAGGAAGAGGCAGAGAGAATACGGAGGAAAGAAAGAGGCGACACGCTCCAGAAGGTTCAGCAAGTGGCCATCGATTGACACCACCACCTCGCAGCGTCTCTGCAGTTCCTCATGCGCGAAGCCATCTCGAACGGCCACAATCCTGGGGCGCTGAGGGCCCTCGGCCCACAGAATTCTTTAAGAAAACCTGTAGATGGTTTGAGGAGACGTTGACTTGAACATGTACCGATAAACAACCTAGCATCCTGATGACTTGCTCTTCGCCCTGGAGCCGTGCACTCAGCGCGGTCCACACGCGCCGCACCTGAGCCACGTCCTGGCAGCGCACCTCACAGTACAGGACATCCAGCGTAGACTCCGCACCTGCGAACAAAGCAGAAACGAAAGTTGAAACGCCCCAAACCCTCAAAGCCTGCTGCCCCCCCCCTCCAACGTCACGAAACTCGAGGCCTCTGCGCCCAACCTCCCTGAGCTCCCTGGGGCACCGCAGACATGCTTCGGCACGCAGGGCGGGGTCCACGTCCCGCACCACTTCGCTCACCAAAGTCCTGAAATTTTCTGCGGTTTAAGGTTTATAAGATGTAGGATTTAAGGTAATGAGTAATGGCATCTACCCATCATGCAAAGCTCTGTGCACACTCAGTGGCTGAAAGCTCTGCAGACAGCGTCTGGCCTGGACAAAACTGCTCTTCCTCAGCTCAGCTGGGATGGGCATGTTTCGACTCATCGGGTCCACGACAAAAATTGCTTTCAGCTGCGCAGAGCTGCGCCAAGCATCCACTCCGTCACGTTCCCCTGCTGCAAGTCCTCAATGTCAGGGTATTCCTCAGCAGAGCTTCCGAGCACCAGGGAGGCGTGCGACAAGTGCCCGGAGCTCTCCAACACCTGACGGCAAGCACCACAAGACATCGACACGTTCAAAAGCTGTGAGGATGGAAATGGAAAGGGATGTGCTTGCACCTCGTTCTCTCAACGGCGCACGGATGCAACGCACTCTGTTACGGAAGAGGCTCAAGGCGCGATTGCAAACGCTCTACCCTGTGCTTGTCCGCTCGTCCTTTTGTCATGGCTATCTTGCGTCTACTGCACAAGTACGAATACCACTTTGCTTCAAAATACGAAATGCTCTTCAGCACCTGATGCCGCCCCCCCCAGCCCCCACCCCCGTCTGATGATTGCTTTGAAAGGCGCCTGCGAGCAAGCCGCCTCGGTGGCCAGCCGCAGCTCCAAGGTGGACAGCCGAAGCTGGTCGAAGCGCAGGCTCGCAAAGGAGAAGCTCGCCAAAAGCCTGGGTTTTTGTTAAGGAACTTAAATTAAGTTACTATAATGGGGAAACCCTATAGGGTTTAGGGTTTAGGGTTACTATATTGGGGAAACCCTATTATTTACTATATATACCCATTATGGTAACATAATTGAAATTCCTTAACAGCAACCCAAAAGCACGGCCAAAAGCATCGCACTCGTCACGGCTGCAGGCAATTCCAGGGATTTCTCGAACTCCAAGCAGACCAACGGGTACCTCAGTGCGTCAATGAAGCCTCGCAAACAAAGCCAAGCCCCATGTAATTCCCATATATACCCTACAGATCCCTATTTTATAAATAGTCTCCATCTATACCCATGTAATGGTACCTATCTTCACTCCCTCTTATGCACCGGTAGATTTGGTGTTGAGGGCAAGCGGCAATGAGCCAAGAACCAGGAGCAGCAAGGCCTCGGAAGTGAGAGGGGACGCGGTTTAGGGTTTAGGATTTGGGGTTTAGGGTTCAGGGATCTGGAGCTGGGGCGACATGTGAAAACCATGTGAAACCATATGAGCTATAGTCTTAACTCCTCCCCCTAAAAACCCCTATAACACTCCCCTATAAAAACCCTATTTAGCCACCCTTTTAAGATTTTAGACTGTAGCTCATATGAAATCATGTGAAAAATGCTTGAGGTCCCAGCTTTAGAGTCCACGTCTGCGGCAGCCTGCGTGAAGAAGATCAACACGAGCTCGGACCAGCTCTTCACCTGCGTGGGAAAGCCCGAAAGGTGGGGTTTGGGGTTTAGGGTTTATAGGGTTTAGGGCTTAGGGTTTATAGGGCTCAGGGTTTAGGGTGAAAGCCCGAAACGGACCCGTGGATTCACCCAACTCTCAGTGGGACTTTTGGTAGAGGCTGGTGTCTAACTGCGCGGCTTTGGCTGGCAATATAGCTCCTGGTCACTGCATTGCAGAGTTAGCATACCTAGACAAGATTTTACGAGGATGAATAGAAGAAGCAACCTGGGTGAAAAAGAAGAAACAATCAATCCCCAAACCCTACCTTGAAGGAAGATCCCTGATTGAATGCCCGCAATCCTTCATGTCAGTGACTCCTTAAGAATCCATAAAAGAGTCCAGACAGTGTCAGGAAGCTGAATTCAAGAAGCAATCCTTCAGTGCTTTGGTATCCATAAACAGGTTTGCCCAGGAAGCAACCCAACTTCCAGACCAGCCACTTTCGAACTGCCCTCCGAAACTTAAATTTTGACTTTCGGGCACGTTTAATCTTCCTGCCGCGCCACCGTCTGCAGCATGGCCAGAAGCTTCCACAACCACGCCAGGACGAAATGCTTGTGACAGTATCCGCTCCTAAGTTGAAGCATCGAAGTCTTGCGAGATTCGAGGTTTCGTGAAGTTCAACATTCCTGGCTTGGAGGTTGCGAGAGCGCAAGGTGAGTTTCGGTGCCAACTGCGCGTTCAAATGGCATGAGCGCAATGCCCGAGAATGCCAAGCTTCAGATTCGCATGGGCATTTCGGCAGCCCAGGTGGCTGCATGGAAACGGGCGGTCCTGACGCAATGACACTTGGGTGCAACACAGCAACACATGGGACATAAGAAGCCCAAACCGGAATTCTGAAATGAGGACGGGTCAGGAAAGCAAAGGTCAAATCCCCATGACAGCTGCCACCCCGTCCAGTCCTCGCTCAGAAGCTCCACTTGAACTTGCCGCAAGTGTGCAGAGCTTGAACCTGCAGAGTGGAAGCTGAGAACAATTCAGAATTTAGGGTTTAGGCCCTAAACCCTAAACCCTATAGGGTTTAGGGTTTAAGCATTCCCCACAATTGCCACCCTGCTGAAAGCTGAGCAGCGCGGCTTTTCTGATAAAAGCGGCCAGGCCCCTTGGGGTCCCTGGGTTTCTTGAAAGTGAAGACAAGACCCTAGGTCCCTTTAAGGGAATATATAGGGTTATATGGGGTTATATAAGGCGATATTGGGATAATGGAAAAGAAAATGGAAACTACAGGGATTATAGGGATTATATGCGACTAGTTCGAGGGTTTAGGGGGACTTAGTAAGTAGGTTAATAATAGGGATAATTGGGGTTACTATATGGGTTATAGTTATAGGGGTTATTACCATACTGGAGTTTAGACTGTAGCCCAAGTGAAGACAAGACTAGTTGTGATGCATCATGCTGCGGTTCACAGCCTGAGCAGCGTTGGATCCCAGCGCAGGTCCATGGCACCTCAGCGAAGTCATCCAACTCAGTCTTCGGTGAGCTTCAGGTGTCACGGTCTTCATCTCATGTTTCTATGTTTCTGAGCCAGGACACCAGCTTGGACAGGCTCCGTTGGCTTGACCAGGTCGCGGTGTCCTGTTCCAACTTGAGCTGACCCCAGAAGAGGCCATCAAAGAAGCAGGGTGGAGGCAGGTCCTGGCCTCGATGTGAAGCCAGATGTGTAGGCGGTCAGCCGCGTCACAAACGCTGAAGCCCTTGTTCTGGCGTCGGACCTTCTTCGCGGCGGTGCACCTTAGGTGTCCAGAGGTTGAAAACCCAAAAGCACACAATCTCAGGCTTTGTAAGCCGGCACTCTATCCTCTGCCTCATGAGTCCCAAGGCTTCCCAAACTATGACCAAAGCGGGCGTTTCAAATATTTTGGTTCTGTAAACGCTTGAAACCTTTCCTAACGAGCTCCTCTTACCATAACAGTCCTGGAACCCCTGCAGGCTCTACCAAATCGAACCAGATAATGAAGATGCTGGCCGGGCGCAGGGCTTGCTTCGAGGGGGGCGGCACTTTTGGGCATCCGTCCACGAGCATCACCAGCTGCTCCAAGCGGCGCAGCCGCCCCAAAGCTGCGTTCAGAGGGATGTTCTCCAGCTCGGGCAAGTTGGCGAACCAAAGTTCCAAGTGCTTCAGCGATGGGTGGATCAAGGCCGGCAACCCAGAAACGTCACAGATTGCACCCGTGAGCCGCAGCTGGAGGTGGTGCAAGCTGAGAGCTGCGACCTCGAAGTCCTCTGACCAGGCTCTAAGGCCAGTGAAGCAAAGGTCCAGACGCAAGATTTGCAGCTGCGCGGGCAGGTGAGCCAAGAGGCTTCTCAAGTCTTCATCTTGAAAGTTCAGGCAACCTGTCAATGACAGCTGCATGGTGCGCCTGCCTTCGTCTGCCTGCAATGCCTTGAGGAGTGGCAGAGCATTGACTTGCCGAGTGTAGCCACTGTGAAAGCTTGCCAGAGCAAAGTGCGAGGCAAGAGCACGGTTCACAAGGGAGTAGTTGGCATGCTCCGTGGGGAAGTCCCCATCCAATGCCTTCGTCTCGGACCGGGGATATGCAATGACGTTCAGGATCCGTTTCTTGTCGATTTCATGGGAGGCCTCCGCTTTCTCGATGTCCACCTCCATGCCACGCTCCAGCAACTCGGACGGGAAAGTCGCCTC